GCGACTTGGAGAGGATCAGAAATGAGGGTATCTCGAATATGGAGGACGGGGGCAGGATGGGGGGGATGTTTGCCTGATAGTTTATGGATTCGTCGCCATACATTTGAGATAGATGTAGAGGATGTAATTGATGAAACATAATTTCGCCAGCTATTTGTTTTACTATTCCGGATTGTACGACGAAGACAGGCAGATGCTCTTTTAAAGGAGATAAGGGCTGATAGTTGATTTGGAGTACCTCTCTTGTAGCGGTAACTGTTCCAGGCTGCACGTTTTAAGCGAAGTGCTTTAGTGCAATCAGAATTCCACCATGGAACACATTTAGAGGTATATGGTCTTGAGGTTCGAGGGATAGCTGTATGTGCAACTCTTAAGACTGTAGTTGTGAAGCACTGTATCATTTCTGAAATGGAGGTGAGGGAGGATGGAGGGGTATGGATAGCAGAGAGTGAAGTGAAAGTATGCCAGTCGGCTCTATCAAAGCACCAGCGTGGGGAGTTAGGAAGTGGTACGTATGAAGTAGGAGAAAGGAGAACTGGAAAGTGGTCACTATAGAGAAAGTGGTCTAAGACTGACCAGTGGAAATCTTTATGAAGAAAAGGGGAGCATAGAGAAAGGTCAATGCATGAAAAAGATTGCGTGCGTGTATCAAAGTGTGTGGGGCGATCTGAATTTAGAATAGTAAGGTCAGCTGTGGAGAGGAAGCGCTCTAGAGATCGCCCTCGGGAGTTGGTAATAGAATCACCCCAAAGAGTGTGGCGGCAGTTAAAGTCGCCCACTATGAAGAAAGGTGGTTGAAGTTGGGAAATTAGATTTTCAAAAGCAACAAAGTCAATGGGGTGGGAAGGGGAGAAGTAGACTGAAATCACTGTGATCCAACGATGAAGGAAGATACGAATAACTGTGCAAGGGACATTGGTTTGAAAGGGTGGTGTGACATAAGGTGTTTTCTGATTGATAAGTATGGACGAGACATAAAGGGAATGTGGGGAAGAGACAAAATGATAATTGGGGATTGGTATTGGAGGATGTGTAAGAAAGATTTCTTGAAGGCATACAATAGATGGGTTATAAGAGGAAAGGATATGACGAAGGTCAGGTCTGTGGGAGCGGAAACCGCGAATATTCCAATGAAGGATAGTTATACTTTCGTTGATTTAGTGTTATAGATTGCAGTACGTGTTGGAGACTTTGAGGGGGAAGCAGCTAGAGGGTGGGATAAGGACTGAGAGGTTTGAGATGGGAGAGATGTGGGAGTTGGTGTTCTATCAGGAGGGGTATTAGGAGATGGAGGGTCTGAGGAAGGGGATACTTGTGACATAAGGGATTCACGTGTGTATCCAGGAGGGAGTGGAAGGGATAGAGGGGATGGTGGGAGGGTTAATGTGGGCGGGGTTGGGGTCGGGGTCGGGGGGGATGGGCTGTGTTGGGAGGGGGTAGGAGGATAGGGTGTAGGGGGGATATCGTTAGGAGGAGGATGGATATCAGCAGTTACTTGGAGTGTGGAAGGAGCAGGGGTTGTAGGTTGAGTGTCAGTTTGCATTAAGTAATCTTGAATATTTTCAATAGTTTCTTCTGAGGAGTTGGTTGGGGAGTTTTGGGGGATAAAGGATTTCTTGTGAAGGGGAGAAGAGAGGACTGGTGTCTCAAGAGTAGGGGCAAAGGATGGTGGAGGTGATTGTGTGGTAGGGGAAGAGGGGGTGGAACGTTTGTTCTGTCTGTTACAGGGAGTGCGAGGAGGGAGAGGGGAAGGTGTTGGGGTTGTAGTGGTGATTGGAGTATGTGTAGTAGAGATTGGAGTTTCTGGATTTAGGATGGCAAAAGAGTTTGACTGGGGAAGGTAGGTGGGGTTAGTGGGGGGGTTAGATGTAGGAGGGGTGGGTTTAGGAGAAGTGTTAGAATGAGCAGTATTACTGGAGTAAGGAGTAAGAGAGAATCCACGTCGACGTGCTTCCTGTCTGGCTTCACGCAGTGTGAGTCCAAGTTTGAATCTGAGAGCTGCTACCTCAGATTCAAATTTGTAGGTGGGACAGCCCCTATAAAATACATTATGGGGGCCGCCACAGTTGGCACATGTGCGTGATTGTGCAGAGCAGTTAGATCGTGTATGGCCAGGTTGGGCACATAATGGGCATCTGGCTGTGGAACGGCAGTGTTTGGCTGGGTGTCCTAGACGCCAACAATTTTGGCACTGACGTGGAGGAGGTTGGTATGGACGAACAGGGAGGGATTCTCCTCCTATGTAGACGTTAAAGGGAAGGTCATGTCTACGGAAGGTAATTTTGGCTATGTTAGTGGGTTTCTTTCGATGACCTCTGGGGGGAATGGAGTAGCATTGTACTGATGTTGCATCGTAGTCTGTGAGACAGGCAAGTAGATCTTCTCTACAATCTGACCAATCTTTGTCATAGATTGGGCAATTTGCTGGGGAGATTGAGACTGTTCCGGTGCAAGTATTGAGGGTTGGATGGGGTTCTGCTAGGATGGGGTTACCATATAGGTCAGTTAGTTTTGTTAATGCTATAGCTTGGTTTTCGGATGTTACTGTGACAAGACGGGAGCGGTCGGGTCGGCTACGGAAAGAGACTTTACCTACTTGTTTTTGGAGGCATTGTTGGAAGAGAAGGGTGTTGTCAGAGTAGGGAGCTGTGGGAGGGATCACGAAAAATTGGTCCCATTTGGCTGCACTGAAGAGAGTATTCAAGATTGTTTTAGAGATAGGGGTGGTAGAAGGGCGAGGGCGTGACGAAGATGGAGTAGTGTTGAGGGAGGTAGTGTTATGGAGAGGTGGGCTATAAGGCTGTAAGGTATTAATAAGGGAGGATGGGGTAGTTGATGTAGAATGTTGTGGGGGTAGAGGTGTTGAAGTTGGGCATGCTGGGAAAGTGGAAATGTTCCTTGAGGGTTGATTGTTGGCTACTGTACTAGTAGGCATTGGTGAAGGGGTAGTTATTGCAGTGTTCGGAGCCGTGGTCAAAGGAGAGCCTGTGGTCGGGGAATCAGGTGGGTTTACTTCGTTGGGGCTATTTGATAAAGGGGCAAGCCTCATTGCCCCTAACAGTGGGGATATATTTTCATTACTGGCCATGGTAAGCCTGGATTATGTTGGGGATAAAAACAGTCCACCCCTCAGGGTCCCCTTGAGGGGTAAGGGCTAGATAACTAAATCAGGGGAATACCGTGCCCATGGCTCCCTCAGGCCATTCAGGACTGGCACAAAGTCAGCCTTTCATCCTTTCAGCACGGCTCTCACACCTTAGGAGGTGGATAGCAGAAGGGTTTGGTGAAGGGACAGAAACAAAAGTGGGAAGGGAAAAAAAAGACCATGCATAATTAGTTGAGTCGAGGGCTGAGTCCCAAGGTTGGGGAGTTCCCCATCATTGGGTCCCAGTCTCCGCCTCCTAAGCCCCCCCCACGACAACAACGGGCAAGGGATTGGGGGGGGATAAAACCATTATATCAGTTATACGTTTCATTCTACATTTATATCTTTTTTATGTTTCTTGCATGGTGTTCAAATGACGAATATTTGTAATGAAATGCATATATTTTCTGTATCCTACTTATCAGCATCTCAATGAAGAATTAAATGCCTTGTTCGTGAAAAACAAGATGGAAAAAAAATACATGTTGTACACTTAAATTCAAGAATGACACAAATGGCAAGTGACTTTTTGATTACCCTGACAGAAATTCCGTCACTTTTTAGCCATTCCTGCTTAATTGGTCATTCATTCTAAATAGGGTCATTCCATCTAACATTCAAACGTTGAACAGAACAATGAGATATGCAGCAAAAGACATGAATAATATTATAGTGAATTGAACATGTATACTCCGACGTGTCAGTCCTGGTCGAGGATAATGCAGAGTTTGAATGCAATCTGTTATTTCTTTGTCTTGAAACAAAAGCACCACACACAATTGAAATCAAGTAATATTGTAGAGTACATTCTAAATTACAGTGTATGTCTTATCAGTATATACCATTTCTATATATAAAAAATATGGAAAGTGAAGGTAAATGGATTAAAAAAAAAAAAAAATCAAAGAACCTCAGCTGCATAATAATGTAGGATATATTAAAATTATGCACATTATAATATAAGATTTTACCTATTGTATCCTGTGTTTGGTCGTCTTTATTTACAATCAATTTATATTTGAAATGAAAAATATTGAATAGGCTGCATTTGCACATCTGATGTTATCCCTGACTTTACCTGCAATGCAGTCCACTATTTTATCTCTTCACATACTCTCAAAAGGGCTTCTGCTTTAAATTTTCAGATTTATACCATTTCCATATAGAAGAACAGGTCTTAATGAAAACTGTACACACAATAGAATGAATATATGGCTAGCACCAAAGACTTCTTTTCTCAGGAAAAGGTTGTGGAGTCTGGGCAAATATGAAAGAAGGGGACCACATCAGTTACACCATGCCTATGCCTAGGCCCTAGACATCAATGGCTCAGTCGCTTTGAAATTACAAAAAAAAAAACTTGCAAACATTATCTGAAAGATGATTTCCTCTATTCCCTCACTATAGTATCATATTTTCTTATGTAATGCTCTCAATTTCAAATATTGTGCTCCTCTATCACCATTTCAGTCTTATTGGATGTAATAATTGAGGTCATCAGAATATTAAATAATAATATTAACTAAAAATGACTGATGGTTGATTGTGATGATAACAATGTTAAACATAATAAACCCCATCATAATTGGATGTGATCTCATTCTATAAATTTATATATTATGTGCATTACAATGAATAACTAATAGCATTTTCCTTTCAACAATTCTCCAAAAGGGTAAGGTTATTTCACAAAGCAAATTCAGGGCTGTGCTTACACTACTAACTGCTTCAGACAGATATTACCATCACAGAAATGCTCAAGTTCACTCTCATTAAAACCACGAAGAGATTGTCTTCTGGACATGGAAAACAAGGCATGCCCTTAAATCTACAGGAATGAATGAAAACTTTCACATACAAAAACAAGATATATTTGTTACAAATTAGGCATTTCTAGCTACAACATACACTGAAGTTATAGCCGTGAAGAGGAACTATTGATACAGCAAAAGAAAAAGAAAAAAGATGAAAAAAAAAGTACAAGAAATAGAAAAAAAAAATATATAACAAGATAGGAAATTCCATTTTTCTGTAATTTTGCTCCCAAGTATAGTGTAAGTGAAACCTTCCCTTACTGCATCCCCAGTCACACCTTCCCCCCTCCTCACAGGCCTTGTCACGTTCTCTTTTTCTTCTTGGGGTTGTCACTACTCGACTCCTCACCTGTTGACAAGAAGAGGAGCAGAAAGATTAAAAACTCATGATCATCAGTGACCACTATCCAATCTGTGTGCATGTGCGTGTCTGTTTGTGTTTGTGTGGGTGCGTATGCGTAGATCTGTGCATGTGAGAGTTAATAGAATGAAAAATATAGCAATGATAAATCATCAATTTGCAAACAGACCCATACTGGTCAGCTGTAATGATGTTAAAATTAAACCATAATTCACCCTACATTTACCTTCGATTTCTTCTGATCAAAAGCAAGAGATGAATTAATCTACCAATCTCTATCTCTCCTTCACTGAAAAGCAAAATTTACAGGCAGTTTAAAAGGCCCTTACCATTTGCCCTGTTCTTTCCGAGTGCATGGTTTATGAATCTCTTGGCAGCTTGCTTGTCGATGTGCTGCATGTTTGCCCTTGCCTCCAGCTCTGCTATCCGTTCCTGGGTCTCCCTCAGCCTCTGCATCTCCACCTTGTAATCATCACGGAGGGTTGACGCAATATCTTCACTGCTGGTTTTCATCAGAACTGGAGAGGAAACTCTGCTGTAAACTCTACTTCTTTTCCTTCTGGGTATACTTTTCTGTCATTATGCTCCTTACCTAATAGCATGGAAGTTTTGGGAGGGAGAGAGAGAGAGAGAGAGAGCCAAAAAGTGTGTGAGAGAGAGAGAGAGCGAAAAGGTGTGTGAGAGAGAGAGAGAGCGAAAAGGTGTGTGTGTGTGTGAGAGAGAGAGAGCGAAAAGGTGCGTGAGAGAGAGAGAGAGCGAAAAGGTGCGTGAGAGAGAGAGAGAGCGAAAAGGTGCGTGAGAGAGAGAGAGAGAGCGAAAAGGTGCGTGAGAGAGAGAGAGCGAAAAGGTGCATGAGAGAGAGAGAGAGAGAGCAAAAAGGTGCGTGAGAGAGAGAGAGAGAGAGAGAGCAAAAAGGTGCGTGAGAGAGAGAGAGACAGTGTGATAAAGAGAATATATTACTTACCCCAAAATAATGAGTTGATTCCATATATTTCCATCATGCCAACCTTTGCTTTCTCTTGGGGTGATAACTGGAAAATAAATGTATAAAAACTATAACTTTCCACAGCAACAATATTGTACAAAAAATAATCATAACAATAAATATCAATATCTAATCAAAACACTGAGACCAAAAAAAAGGAGAAAAGATGATTTTCCTGAAAAGAAGATTCTTGCTATATTATCATTAAACACAAAAGAGAACAATTATCTTTAAAAATGCATACCAAATTTGTTTTTTGACCACATTACACTTATGCATCATGTATCAGATAATGAAACAATTGTAATCACTAAATCTAGTCTTCTGCAATCCCCCACCATCTGCGATCCTAATGAAGTGGGTGTGGATAATTCAGGAAAATTAGTTTAGAAGTTAATGGTCATGGATACTCAATACTTTGCAAAGAATGAGGCTAATGAGGATAACTGATCAGAACTAGATTATTAATTCTAATCTAATAATAATAATAATAATAATAATACAGTTATCTCTTTCAAAAAAGGATAATTATTCAGAGAAGCTTCATATCACCTAACAAAACTGATATTGATACACTGCTTAACCCTTTCCCAACGGGGAAAATGAATAAAAAATGAGGGAAATTCTGTGCTCATTTTTTATATTTTTGTGAAACATCCCTATTACTAAATGGCTCTGCCTTTACTTGAAATTGGCACAAAAAACATATTTTTACTAGTGCTATGAATATAGATGGTGTTATTTTTATTAAAAACATTATAATTACGATAATGTTATAAACATCCATAACAGCAAAATAAGATACAGTTCATTATTTTCGTAAATCGATGAAAAGGGTGAACAGGCGAGACAGGCAGTACTCGTAACTGGCTCATTAGTGATTTAGTACCAGTGTAGCCATCTATGTGTAAAAACAATCAAACAACTAAACTCACAATGGGCATGGCATGTACGTACAGTAAGTCCCCTACTTATGAACATTCTACTTACGTACATTACATACGAACAAATTTTTTTAAATACTTAAATCAAAAAAATTGTTTGAAAGATGCTAGCAAACTTCAAACTTCTAGGGCGCGAATATAGTTCACGAGTCTTCCACGCTGTGGCGCTCACTCAGCTGTGCACATCACTCGCCTCAGTCACCTGCCCTCCCGCCATAAACACTAAAGCATCTGTTCACTGTGTCCTTGTGTACCACCAATTTTTGTGCCCTAATTCGCTTTACCTGTGCATCAATCCATCAAAAATACTTATTGGGAGTTATGTAGAGGTATTCTTAATGTAAACAAAACCTTAAAACAATGGGAAAAGAGGCAATGGAGACTCAACTTTGGATATACAAATAAATGGAGTTATGAACAGCCTCTCGGTCCCCATTATGTTCGTACGTTGGGGACTTTCTGTACATGCCATGCCCATTGGCAAAGGGTTAAGTTGTCTTCTGGCCAAATAGTGTAATTTCTCTGTAGAGAGCACAGAGAGTAACAGAAATTAAGAGTCCCAGCATCAAACATCATTACAACCTCCATGACAGCACTCCAGCAAAGACTAACAATCCTTCAACAAATTCATTTTGGCAAGACAGAAATCCTGTAGATGTCCTTGGCAGTTTATCATCATATAAGAAACCAGTCCAAATTTAATGTTGCTAGTTTGCCAATCAAATCCATTAAAATTCAAAAGGTGAATATTTGCATCCAAAATATTATACAACAATTGGTTCTTAACCCAATGCCGACAGGCATGACGTGTACCTGTATGCCATGCCCACTGTAAGTTTACTTGTTTAATCGTTTTTATACACAGATGGCTACACTTGTACTGAGTCACCGATGAGCCAATTACAAGCACTGCCTGTCTCACCCATTTACCCTTTTCTTTGATTTACGAAAATATTTTACGTTATCTTATTTGCTGTTACTAATGCTTATAACATTTTAGTAATTATAATAATTATAATGTAATTATAATATTTATAATAAAAATAACAGCATCAATATTCATAGCACTAATAAATATACATTTTTCCTGCCAATTTGACTTGGGTAAGGTCACAAGGTCTACTAATTGACTCCTTTGTGGCTAAGCACTTGCAGAGCCATCTATGTGCAAAGACATTTCACAAAATGTATAAAAAACAACACAGCATTTTCCTATTTTTTATTCATTTCCACTGGCTGTATGCAGTTAAAAGTGCAACTGTTTTTCAAATTTCCACGTTAGTATTAAAGTAAACAATTACCGAACTCTTTACAAGGAGGGCACTATGGGGTAGAGTTCCAAGAAAATTGCACCAAAGCCGTTACATACAGGATATTCCTGTAGTTACCATTATTAGTGTTACTAATGTTTACTGTATAATTTCCCTAGTATATTTCATGGCCATTCCAGTCATGAAAGCAACAGCCAGAAGGGCCGATATGAAAAAAAAAAAATTTAAATCAGAATTAAAATGAAAAGCCAATAATATGAAAAGAAATAGCATAGTTACACCCATCACCTGCATGTGTGTCAACTTTGAAACCACTAGAAAAACAATGACATACAATCTTTAAGAATCATAATTAGTAGTAGCAGTGAAAAAAGGTTTTCTGAAAAATTATTCAGTAATAATAAGATTAACCCCTGACACCAAATTTTGTTCATGCCAAAGCGAACCAAGCACTGGGTGTCAAGTCACTATCAGCCATTTTATTGAAAAATCAGAAGCATGGAAATGCACTTGGTGTCATACTATATGAAAAATTACTTTTATTGGGTACGTTGGCATACACTCGATGTGCTTTTGGCGTACCTCTGGCATGAGTTTTACACAGAATGCACCCTGGGCTGCCTCCTGCATTTAACAGTGTAGGAAGATATTATTTTTGTTATGTTATTATACTATTGTTTGTTTACCCCACAATTTCCCTGGTACCTTTCAAGCCCTCCCTTGCTATCAGGGCCAAGAATGTAGGGGCTTGGAGGCATTCCATGACATGATTCCTACACATATATATATACTAAAGGGTGAGAGGAATCCACTGATAAGAAAATTGTAGTGATTGATTATGCGAAGGTATTGTGAAAAAATACTATCACCCATGTACTTCTCCTCACTGCTTCTTCTGTACTAAGATAAAAAAAATAAAATAAAATAAAATAAATAAACACACCTTTACGAAGCAAAAATTCGTTTGGAATTACCTCGACGAACCAACAGCAAACCACTAGGATAGCCTACGAGCTCTCCTGACAGAATATCCTATACCCTCGTCTCAAGATACATCAGAAGCAAGCCCTGCCTCACCTTCCTCATGACCTCGTGATAAGGCTGCGAGATCCGAGCGGCTGCAGCTCCTTCTCGCATGCCGTCGCTCCTTCCGCATATCAGCATCTTGGCGCCAATTCCGGGAGGCATGTTCCCTGGCTCGATTGTGTCCATCCTTCTGGGCCATACCTGCTTTAATTTAACGTCTTGGGTATGCTAGATAGAAAGCCGTCCCTTGATCTAGAGACCGGCGTACCTCATAGTACACGCACACCACCTGCCGCTGTCGGACGATTGTTTTGTTTTACGTTTGAGTTTAGCGAAGGTAAGTTTAGCGAAATCTCCCTTAGCGAACACTTATAGCAGAGAGGAGCTAATCATAGTGTAATTTCTGTATTTGCTTAGTTGTCAATATTATATTATTAGTGTAGGATGCTGTGTTTTGAGTGAAGAAAGATGGGATAATCCTGACGAACCTTTTTATTGTAATAATGGCTATGAGGTCTAAAGACTCGCTTCTTTCTTATATTCCCAGAAGGCCCCTCCCCCATAGGTGAGAATCTGTCGGTTTTTATAAATGTGTTATCCAGAACTCACACTGTGATTACACTTTATAATCGACCTTTTTCCCTCTATATTGATATCAAGGAAAAAACTTTTTTTTTTTCGCACTTTAGTCGGCAATGGAAGCAAATGACAGATTCTTGTCAAGGCAGCCTAGTCACTATTTCTTTGTTTTCTTGAGATCCTTCTCAAAATAAATAAGAACAAATATTATGTGCAATGAGCATCAATTGCAAGTTTTGAAATGTTGATGATGTGTCCAAACATCCTAACTCTCTACTTTTAATTGCTGGCGTAAGCATTCCATATTTTTTTTTTATTTTTGAACTGCCTCTTCCTGGTAACTGACGTTTTTATTCTATAAACGGCATATACTTTTGTTTTCTGTCTAAAGCATTTCATTTCAAAGATATCTATTTGTTAGGCCTTTCCGGTATGAGACGATCTTTATTAAGTTTGTTACTCTCGCGGGTAAGTTGATGATTTATTTCAGGTAATTCTCTTTTGTATATTTGATATTTATTTATTCACTGAGTTTCAGATCAAGTATGAGCACGTTTCTGCCCGTTCTGCTGTTCGTCTTTGTCCAGTGGTCCTGAAAAAACAAATTATGACTTATAATTATCATATATTATTTAATGGATAATGCTTTCATGTGTCAATGTACTTTAATGAATTTCACTGTGTAAGTAGTTTCTTTTCTGTTTCGTCTGACCACTGTTTTTAGTCCCACCCTATCCTCTGTTGTGGTTCCCCTCTTCTTTGTTCAGTGTCCTTTTATGTAGGAATGGGCACAATGGTTTCTACTGAGCCGAGTTAACACTGATTCACTTTCACCTCACTGATTTCCAAGCTGACTACCTCCACGCATGGCAGAATGGGGATACCATGTTCCTTGCATCAAGAAGATGGTCGTTCGGTTGTAGGTAATTTAGGTGAACAGTTTCAGAAACACTTGGTATTTTGGGCTATCTCGAATAATGTAGCACCATTTCTCCCCCATGCCCCACGACTTCTGCACTCCACACCTCTCTACTACCAAAGTTCTTTTAAACGGCTTTTTTCATTAAGTTGTACAAAAATCTCCGTCATTAATCCACTTATGTTTGATATTGTGTTTTCTTATTCATTTCTAAATGGGATGATATGTCCATTGCTGTTACTACACTAACTATGGCCTTTGCATCCATTTTACGCTGAGACTTGTGCATGTACAATGTAGGTACGTATCGCGTACTG